GTAGTGCCAGTATCTTGGAGTGAGTTGACAAATGTTAGAGACAGAAAAACATGAACATTTAATTTTGAACTCTGCCTGTAAAAACCCGAAAATGGGGTAGGCTACAAGAGTTAGCCTTAATCTTTATCCCAAACGTTGAAAACCTGAAATAAATACAATAAATTAGTACAGCTCTTAACTTCTTCCAAGGTACAAATTAAACAAAGGAGTTCAATCCGACTAATAGTTGAGCTTTAGGGAAACAGTTTTTATTTATCTTTTCACAGATCTAGGCGATAGCTTTTTCCCTGTGTCACATTATTTATGCTAAGCTAAGCTAGCCTGCTGCTCACTAAAGCTTTATATGTGTCGAAACATGCATAGGTGGTATCGATCTTGTTATCTATCACTCTCAGCAAGTAAGAGAATAAGTACACATTTGAGCTTTAAAGTACAAACTTTGGCAGAGGTGGAAGAAGTACTTAGATCTTGTACTTGAGTAAAAGTACCAGAGTGTAGGAATAATACACAAGTAAAAGTCCTGCATTTAAAATGTTACTCAAGTTAAAGTACAAAAGTATTAGCATAACAAATATTAAAGTACTTATTATGCAGATTGGTCCATTTCAGAATTATATATATTATATGTTTTGATTATACTTATTGATGCATCAATGTGTTTATCAAAGCTGGTAAAGCAGGGTAGCTTGTGAATTTATTCCAGGTGAAACTAAAGTCTTATTAAGTGTGTTTATATTTCACATTATTAATCCAAATCTTTAAAGCAATTAAAGGACATAATACATGTAGTGGAGTAAAAGTACACTATTTACCTCTGAATTGTAGTGGAGTAGAAGTACAAAGTAGCATAACATTGAAATAGTCAAATAAAGTACAAGTACCTCAAAATTGTACTTAAGTACAGTACTTGAGTTAATCTACTTAGTTACATTACCCCACTGGCGATTGGTTTATTTTTTTATATTTATTTTATTTGTATTTAACCTTTATTTAACCAGATAAAAGCATTGAGATAAAATCTCATTTTCAATGCTGACCTGGCCAAAAAGGCAGCAACGTTACACATAACACAAACATATAAAATACAGAGAACATAACTAAGAAAACAAAAGACGAAAAAGCAGTCACTACATTGTGCACATTTGGACAGTAAGAAAGGTACACTACTTATTACTGCAAGAGCAGCTGGTGGTAAGGACCTCAGACAACTTCAATTTAAAACAGGCTATATGGACAAGTGCCGTCAGTTTGAGGCTTGATTCAAGGTCATTCCAAGACCAAGGACCATAATAAAAAAGACTCCTTTTCCCAGCCTCAGTCCGCACAGCAGTTACCTGGAACCGTATCCAGGCACTGGATCTGAGGTTGTGAGAGTCACAAACTGGAGCAAATCTGGCACATATATACAGTGGAAGCTTACCTAAAATGGCTTTATACATTAATAAAAACCAATGCTGCATCCTACGCATACTAAGTGAGGACCATCCAGTTAGGCTATACAGTGTGCAATGATGAATCCTATAGGGTGCATTTGATATATAACACAGTGCAGCATGGTAGAGTGGGTCAAGTTTGGCCAAAACAGTGGGACAGGTAAATCTATAAAAGGTATCACCGTAGTCCAGCTGGAACAGGAATAAGCCAGAGACCAACCTTTTACATGTACGGGTTGAAGTTGAAAAACAACATTTAAGTCTGTAAAGGAAGCCAAGAGTGAATTTCAATTTCTTTGTTAGAACTTCAATGTGGTGTTTGAAGTTCAGATTACTGTCCAACCAAAAGCCAAGATATTTGTAGGAATCGACAACCTCAACAGAGACGCCATCAAGGGTGTCAATGGAGAGGCAAGAGGACGCTGACTTGGGAGCAAAAAGCATTGCTTTGGTTTTCTTCCTGTTCAAAAGCAGTTTGGAATCAAGAAGTGCATGCTGCAGCGTGATAAAATCAGATTTTAAATTGGAAACGTCCATATCCAGAGAAGGAGCACATGAGTATACAATAGTGTCATCAGCATACATATGATAGGTGGAAAATTGCATCTGATTACAAATATTGTTTATATATAATATAAATTCTAAAAGAAAGTGCGCAAGTCCATTTCATTGAAGTTGACAGACAGGTGGGGTAAAATGTGTTAACCAGCGAAAGCATATTGAGTGAAAACTATAATAAGTGGTAATGGTGTCATTGTAAGCTTATGATAGCAGCATGCCATCTAAAGAGTTATTTCTTGCGAAGAAGCAAGCTTTTTTTCCTTTACGGCTTCGTCAGCAGTTACAGACTATTTAACTAAGACCTAAGTCAAGCTCTATGTACAGCACACAATGAAAGACTTACTTCCACATTTCTTCACATTCCTGCTGCTGGGGTCAGACTGAGTGTGTGCATTGTCAGCTGTCACATATATAGGTCTGAGTTCATGTGGTTAACAACAATTAAGACACAAAAGCTCTTCAATAGTCTACATGAGAGAAGGTGTTTATGGGGGAGAAGTTCCAGCAGTGACAATATGGCATTATTTTGAGGGGAATTAGAGAATTTGTCTGAATGTGACCATTTCTGTCTCTGGATTTGCGTCCAAACAGCTCATAGAAGAGCAGCCAGTCAATGTCATATGATCCTGCTGGCTTCTTTGCTCAAATCAAATCACATGGAGCCATTGGATGCACCCCAGCCTCACATGTGAAATCTATTCTTCCGTTCCCCAACGTGTCCCTCCTTCATTTTTTTATCAAAGAGTTTAGATCCAAGGACATACTTCTCAGGACATTTCTGGTCTGGGGTCACGTCTTGTGTCATGGGCACCGGCAGAAGGACTGTGGCAATGCAGAACATTTATTTCTACATTTTAAAGAGGAACTGCGTATCTGTTGCAACATTTCATAGATCTGAGGTGAAGTTACCACAACACAGGAAGCACTATATCATCCACCCTTCCTTTCCTCCACACACTAAAGATGCCCAATATGTCAGTAAGCTGTTTTGCATGCATCAAAATGCTAATGTGAATAGAGGCCTACTGTAAGTAAACAGGTTGTATGTTGCATAAAATAAGCTGACGTAAAAATGTATTATATTTTACATCTATTGCACATGTTTTACTATGCCAGCATGATTGTGAAATTCAGGATTAACAGTAGCGTTTGTGTAATTTTGCAGTAAGATGGTGTCAGATTTTAGGCAGCTCTGAAAGCATAGAAGCAGTTTGAAAATGGGAAATACTATGCATCATTATTTATATCATTTTTATACAGTTACAGAAGAAAGGCCCGGTCATATACTATCGCATCATTTGCACGAGTACAACATTTAAGGTAAATTGACTACAAGCATGTTTTCTTTTCAAATGTTGTCCTGCTAAAAGACAACAACACTCCACCAGAATATCTTTTTTGTATCTGACTTTGAACATGTGACATCAATACTGATCAATGGTGCATTTACGGTTTAACAGATTCCAGTGAACTTATAACCATCAATTAAAACCACTAAAGTGCTTTGTAAATAAATTAGTATTTGGAGTGGAGTAGAAATATAGAGTAGCATACAAATAAATACTTATTAGAAATACAACTACCTCAATGTGTACATGATGTACTTTTTCTACTGATAGGCAGTGACAATATTTTCTGTTAATTGAGGAGTATTTTACACCTGTGCAGCAAAGTGGACACATTTAGCTGCTTGCAAGAATACAGAATCTGTAGCTTAGCAACCAGCTTAATTAGTTTGACACCTCTATCATAACCTTATTTTGTGCTTTTCTTAAGAAATGATTCCCTTAAATATTACAGGATCGCTTCTGTTTTCTGCTTTTCTTTTGAAATGAAAGGCGAATGTCTCATAATAATAATAATAAACCTTATGAGCTTTTTGTGACTCATGTTGCCGTGCAGTCAGCGTTGCTGTACTGTATGTTCATCTCCTGCTGTTTAGTGCATGAAAAACTCCATTAATGTTCTAAGAAATACATCTTTCAAGATAAAGAAAAGAAGGCCACCTGTTCCTTCACCAATGATCATTAAGATGGAATATATTGTATATAAATGTGCAGTCCATGACAGTATGTTCCAGTCATCTCTAAAGAATGATGAGCTCTGATTTAGTGCAACGTGATTTTGCTTTAGAGTTGTAACTTAGATAACCAGGCAGTGGCTGTAGACGATCATTGTGAAAACAAAGTACGCATTGCTAGTCATTGAAGGGACCCTTTCTTCAGGTCGGACCTGAATAGTGTGAGCATGTGCTTTGGTAATCTGACCTTGAATCTCCGCGGTTAGAGGGACACATGAGGCAGCAGCCCATTGGCCGGTGTGAGGAACGGCTTAACAAATAGTGGTCTACAGTATGCATGGCTGATTAAACTTAGACACAGAAAGTCCTCTCTGTCCACAGCTCCAGAGCCAAGAAAACATGCGGCAGGGAAGGGGGGAGACAGCTCTCCACAGCAAAACACACTTAATAGAAACCCTACCCACTACCCAAACAACTTGACTGAGAAGTTTCTTATTCGCGCCACGATCACTTACTATATAACACTAACAAGGTTTTGTAGGCAATTCATCCTCATAGTAATAAACATTTGAAGCCGGGTCTTTTGTAAACAAGCGTCAAATATGGCATTCAGAGCTCCATTTAGTATATAAAAGCCAATGGAAAAGGCTGCCTGCAACTAATAATGTTCATTGTCAATGCATCCGTTTATGATAATTAACTAATTTATTTCCTTCCAAGATGCCCAAAAGTTTAGGAATTGTAGTATTACGAGTCCCAAGAGCCCAAGCTGTCTATATAGGACATATTTGATGTAAAACCAAATATGTAGCAAAGAAAAACTGCAGCGACTCCTCACATTGCTGAAGCTTGAATTACATTGTGTTTTAAGCTTTCTCTTCATATATTACTCAAACTACTAATACATTGTCAATTAATTGTCTTTCTGTCAACATATTATTTCTTTCGGCACTAATATCGTTTACAGGGACAATCACATTCAAAGGTAGCCCAAAATGTAGAAACTTTATGTTATCAGCAGAGACAAACACAGCGTTACGTAAAATGCTTTTGTATTAAGTCTTTCAAACTGACAGGTGGATGGCAGAAGATTTTGTCCAAAAAGAGAATTACAATTACGGCACATTTAAAAATGTCATATTGTTTTTAGAAAAGAAAAAGAAATCTAGATAATACAGACATGGCTTGCCATTCACTGAACCATAATCCTAGTAGGTTAAAGTTACTTTGTTGTTCTTGTTGGACTAGTACCTCGAGAAACGGCCTGAATCTGACCCTGAAACAGCAGGTCTGATACAAGCTTAGCTTCCTGATAGTAAAATAGGAGTAGGCTATTCTCACTTTGACACCAAATGAAACTAGATTGTTCACTGAAAACTGTTAAAAGTTCTGATTGCCATCAAGACGCACTGCAGAGGAAGTAGGGCTCATCAGTTGGCACAGTCACAGGAGTTTTCTTAGGAAGGCACTTGACATGGGGTTCCCCATGAAGCGACAGCAATGCACTAAGGTCCTTCTTTGTGCACACTGAGGTGGGACAACGTCAGCAAAGTGCAGGTTCCATGATAAATCCACTTTCGCCAGACCGGAGAGGGGGGATAACAACAAAAGCTCCTAACACAACTCCATCACAGTCCACAGCTTCAGATAAAATATGTTAGTGGGAGGAATCTGCGTCTCTTGGATCCCACTTGACCTTTAGGGGAAATAAATTGTAGAGATCTGATTTGAGTAACCCGGGAAAGGCTTGAATGGTGATTGTTACGTTTATTGGCGATTTTAAGTGCTTTCAGGCCTCCTGCTGTGTCATTTCACCCAAAAAGACATTAAAAGTAGCCAATCCCAGCTCTGTCTGGATTTAGCATGACCCCACCACCACCCAAGAAATATGGACCCAGCCCAGAAGATGTAACAGTACAACTCAACAAATAAAAACACCAAAAGAACTGTCTCTTAGGTTTCACAATAAGACATTCCCATTGAGGCACATTTCCAGAGAAGTGTCATATACAAAGCTGTTTAAAAAATCCAAAAACATTCAAGTACTTTGTCATGTAAACACTTTTTCTAGACTATAATACATAATCGATTGTTGTCTTCGTTGATTTGTGTTTGTGTGCAACAATAAGACAACAGTGTGAAGAGAGAATGAATAGGCTTGGGGGGGGAAGCCCGCAGGACAAGTAAGAAGCAAAATTTCAGCCCGGATGTTTTTCTGGATGTTTTTCATGTTTTTTAGAGCAGGACACATGAACAACACTGGTTACCACCACTGGGAACAGTTGAATAGTTCATCTGTCTGACTATTTCTGCAAATAGTTCGTCGACCGAGCCTTTATTTTTGGCTGAAGTTTCAATAAAAGGGCAGCTCCATTCCTGGGCCAGCGCCTTTCCTTCCCCGGAAGACACCTCTCTTTCCCCTTCCAGGTCCACCTTGTTTCCCACCAGGATCATAGGCACCCTCTCGTATCTCTTCACCCGGATGATCTGGTCTCTCATCGGCTTGATGTCCTGGAAGCTCTGCTGGTTCACCAGGCTGTAAACCAAAATAAAGCCCTGGCCGTTCTTGATGTACAGGTCTCGCATGGAGGCGAACTGCTCGGTCCCCGCCGTGTCCAGGATCTCCAGCACCGACGGGGACGAGTCCACCTCGATCTCCTTCCGGTAGAAATCCTCTATCGTCGGGTCGTACTTCTCGATGAAGGAGCCCGTCACGAACTGGACAGTCAGCGCGGATTTCCCGACTCCACCCGAGCCCAAAACAACCACTTTGTACTCCCTCATGGCTGGGGGGTGAAAAAAAATAGGCAGACACTTCCTTTTTTCCGCGACGAAGCCTGCTCTGTCTCTCCCACCCGCTGACCAGCCCCGATGTTTTCAAAGCGAGCAGGCTGGGAAGGCTGCCCTCTCGCTCGGATAGGAGTCAAATCCCACGCCGGCAAATCCTCCGAGCCTGCTGGGTGACGGACTGCAGATCCGAGGAGAATCACCGCTCCTGGACATTAGCGTGGAAAATTAAAGCACATTATTTTTGATCGCCCTGTATTGTGCAACGGCGTTGGGAAGCGTGATCGCTTCTCTCCTCTTGCATGGCGTTTCCTGCCCACATCCTCAGCGCGTCAAAAGCCGAGGCACAGTTCCGTTTTCTTAAAGGAGCCGTCACCCGAAACCTCAGTCAGAGCCGTCAGATGACCAGACAGATCCTGCAGGCGCGTGCATGTCTGTGGCCTCTCTGCATGACCTCTGCCCTCATACATGACGACCAGAGGCTCTTCAGATGCCCACTGTCACTTTAATCATGTTAAGCATGCATGCTAATGAGGTCATTTATTTACATATGTCAGCTTACTTATCAACATTGTATTTATAATGCAGAAAAAAGAGGATCCTGCATGTTGCTGTCGACATTGATGTTCAGATTAAGCACATTTGTATTATTTATTTTATTATTATTATTATACGTTTACCTATATGACAATGCATCAATTGAAGGCCTTACAATTAAATTCACATTAGATATTGTTACCACATTTTCTTTGTATTGAGGAGATTGTATGATGGTGTTTAGTGAATGTTGTAACATATCCTGCTTTATATTGTTGTTGGTATCTCAACTATATTTTTTAATATTGTTTTAGTTTACATTTGTTTACATTTTAGAATTGTTTATTTCTGCTCTTAATTGATCTTATGTGCAAAGCCTTGTCTTTTATGCTGCTGCAACGCAAACATTTCCCAAATTGGGATCAATAAAGTACATATTATCCTATCTTTGTGTCCCCATCAAATGATACAAGGAAGTTTACATGATCACAGAATATTATTATTTTGTTTTCTGAATAGCATCTAAATGAAGTTTTACACAACAGGAACCATGAGGTTTCTTTTATTTATTGATCTTGATCTGTTTTTATAATCCCATCAGATCACCTATGGACATCCAAAAAGTCACCATGGTGTCACAGCATAATGATAACAAATACAGCCTGGAAAAGTACCCTGTTTCTGAAGAGAACATATGATGTCTTTGTGTTTTAACTTTATCTCAAACAATTTGCAGGTTGTGTTTTGCGGGAAGAGAATATCTTCGTTCATATCTGATTCCAGACTGGCTAACATAACACCCATGCCTTCTAAATGGAAAACACTCTCCAAACGATGGTAGGATGAATTCAGGATCCAGATGTTATGTGAAATATTCATACACAGTGCAATGGAAGGCATGTTGCGGGTTCATGTGTGCTTGATCTATCTTTTTTTCATTATCACTTTTGACCCAGATGAAGCACATAATGCCCTTAGCCGATCAATTAAATTAATAATGATATCATTCTCTGTGGAGCTGCTCCAGTCTTGCTGACTTTGAATCCTCAAGGTTGAACTCTGAAAGAATATAGAACAACCTATCCTAGATTGTGCCCATCATATATGAATTAAGCAAAATTCAATGGGAAATCAATACTTGAAGGTTGACAATGCAAGACAGATAATCTGTACATTATAACATGGTATTCTTTAACATGTTTATTAATGAAAAGGTTGACTGAGAATATCTGCATTTACTAAAATACCCACTACCCCATACATCCAGCACACACAGAGGCAGTGACCACACATATGTTGCATGAGCAAATCAAATATTGTTTTATTCAGATTTCAAATTCAGATTCAGAGTCAATTATGGCAACAATAAAATGTGCATAAACAAATCTGAAGGCAGAATAGTACATTATTGTGAGGAAACTGTTAGCAAATATATAATCGGTGGTTGCATTTACAAGTAAAAAGCAGTCAAAGCGTACATGTGCCCCCAGCAGGGAAGATAAACCATGGCTCCAGCCAGGAGACTGAACATCTGGTTTGGAGAAAAATGGTGCTTTGGTTCTGTAGCAACTAAACACAGCAGCCTCGGGTCAGAAACATGTTGACCAGGTGACTGTTACATTCATTTCAAAGACTAATTTGCCAAATACGCGTTTGGTATATAGTGAGCCTTCGCCTGCTGAGTGCACAGCTGTGATGGCACAAACAACTTCCCGTGAGTCAGTGTGGACTGTAATTATATGGCTATAAGAAAGTACCCGGGTGGATGAGTGCTAATATTTGATCATTCTTTAAATAACATGTTTGCTTGGAAAATATTTTTAACACACAAGAGTAAGATGACTTGTTTAAGTTTAATTTCTCCCTGCTGTTATCTACTGTTTGTATATTTGATTAAAATACATATTACTGTGTATTCTGTAATCTGAATGTGTTATCTTGCTTTACATAACTATGCGTTTTATTTTGTTTACATGTTTGTACTTTTACATGCAGTCAAATCAAACGAAAATCCAAACAAATTTGAGTTGTATGTTTTAACTGTACCATGGGAGCAGCAATACTGCGCGATCAAGTCTAACAAATGATATGGATATTATTGGATATGTCATCCCACAAGAGGGGTGGAGTAAGCATGACATGGGGATTTATTCCCCTTCGACATTCCCTTGCAATACTATTGATAAAATAAGACAAAAAGCGCATAGCTTTCTCTGAATGCATTGGCCAAGAAACTAGTGCCCTTCTTTGCAAGCAAGTTTTTTTTTAGCTGGTCTTCTAATTTAAGAATTTAAATTAATCTAACAAAATTCCTTATAATTATAGATCTTTTTTATTCAAAATAATATCTCAATATGATACACATTTTTTTCTCTGTTCATTTGACTATATACAGAAGTGCAAAAAGTCAACCTTCGTCCCTTAGGTTAGAACTCATCATCTGCAGCATTTCGGACCTCTCCAGTCTGGAGAAGTCTTCTCTCTCCTAATCTCACTATCCACAACATCCAAAGACCCGTCAATCTCACTGCTCGTTTTGGCCTGACATTCAGGGCAAACTTAAGAAATATTCAAACAAAAGTACATATCTTTTTGAAATGGATACAGTAGAAAATAATTTTTACTCTAAAACATGGACAATCTATATTTCAATACAATATATTTTCAAACGTGATCTTGACATGTGACAAGGAAAATCTAAGTTGGTTAAAACATTAGTTTTTTTTTTCTCTGCCAGTGGCAGCAAATTAAATGATCTCATTCCTTGTATCAAAAGTCTTTCATCAACAAAATTAACTGATAATGTAACATCATCTGTAAAAGACATCCAGCTATATGAATGAAGTGAATATTTAAAAACACATGATCATTTATATGGTTTGAAAAAGTTATGAATGTCATACTACCTCAAAATCTACAACGGCTATATCAATGTTGTCAAGTAATATATAGTAAGGCAAAAAAAGAAAAATCTACAACTACATACCTCAAATAGATTCAAATCCTTAAGTAGTACATAACACAGAAGTTCAATGAAATTTAAGAGAGTAATTGTTACTTTTACATAGAGAGAAAGAACCAAAAAAAGAAAGAAAGAGATCATAAGCGGCACGTGAGACATCTATAAAACATCATTGGTGTTCTTTACCTGCATGGTGATTGAAAGTACATTTGATTGGGCTCGGACCCATTAATTGTAATCTAAGGCTTTGTTAGGTAAATTACAATCGGTAAAGACACACTAAACACCTCTCTGAAAACAAAAAGGGATGTGATCATAAAATTGACAGATGATAAACATGTTTTCTTAAGCCTCGTGAGAGATGCTTCTGTAAGTCTCAATGAGTATGATTGAGAGAAAAACTGTGCTTTGGTTTCTGTAGTCAGATCTACAAGTGAGTAAGAGCTTCCATTTTTTACTTGGAAACGTTTCCTCAAAAGCGAAACTTCCCTTAGGATGAGTTGTGAAATCAAAACAGGGTGACCAGACAAACAATCATTCAAGTGCACATGTGGTTTAAATGACCTAATAGACCTTTGGGTCTGATGTTGTAATTTCTCATCAATACATGGCTCAACGGTGCTTCTTTGAGGCACAGTTTTAGAGTCGCTCCTCTTTAAAAGAGGCAGAACAAGGTAACACAATGTCAATTAAAGCTACACCCTCTTCTGAACCAGGCTTTAGAGTCAATGGACTTACACAACGTAATCCCAACAAATAAAAACCATCACTAGTCTATGAAAAGAGGCATGACAAAAAACCCTCCATTTTTGATTTTAAAAGATAGAAACGTCAACAAAAGAAACACAAATTTGGCGAGAACCCCACTTCTAAATGAATTAATCATTGACATTGAACGTAAAAAAAAACAACTCGCAACGGAGATTCTGAAACCAAACAATACAAAAAGAGCCATACATAAAAAAGTTTACCATCTGTAAACAAATAACACTGCTGAGATAACACTCTGGTTTTTAGCTGTATGGCCTTGATGGCACATGTCAAGGTGAGAAAAAGCCTGGCTGTGCTTTCAAGGTACACAGGTATGTTGGTTTACCCAGAACATTCATACGTCCAAGACCCTCATTTCATCATCTAGTTTCACTAGTAGCCGTAAAAACACAATACTGTACATGCGTCATTCTTTTGGAGAATACAATTCCTCTTCAAATAATTGTGCCTTTCAGATTTTAATTCATATTCAAGCTGCATGTTTGCATTACACTTGTAAACTATGAAATATGGCTATCAATTTAAAAAATATATATAAAGCAGAACAAATAAAAAATAATCTTGGTCTACTAACGTACCAGCACTGGATGTTGCTTTTATACAACCCCGCTCTTGACCTTCTGCGTGTGTGTTAATGATACCAATTAGAACAGATTGAGTGCTATGATTTAGGCAGACACAGAGGTGTAATGTGAACGCTTCCCATAGAGGGACACACACTGACCCGGCACCAAGAAATCCCCTTCTTTTGGCTGGACGTTTAATTTGATATCAAATTCTTCTTGAGATTGATATGTGGGAAGATGGCACAGATCATGTGTTGCACCTTTGATGTTTACAAGTGTGATGAGACCATCGTCGTGGATCGGCTAAGAGATGGCAGACCCTCCTCGTCGGTTATGTACATATAGGCTGAACTCTTTTGGCTTGGACGGTGCCAGCACACATTCATTTGATCTGTAAGACATGACAGATTATGCTTCAAAAAAGGTCTTTAAGTTTTAGGACTGAATTAGACAGAAAGCTATACATGTGCATGAGCAGAAAGAATATGAGGATTGAAATAGGAACTCACTGTT